GAAGGTGGACAGACACATAGCGGAAATAGTCATCAACGATGACTAGGAAGTAGAAGTGTCCGCCACGAGAGCGAACAGGAGCTGGACCCCAAAGGTCCATGTGCACGCGATCGAGAGGTGCAGTTGAGATGAACTCAGTGGGGGGATGGGGCTGTTCACGAAGCTTGCTCTGTGCACAGTCAAGGCAAGGCGGCCCTAGGTTGGAGGTAGGAGAGGGAAGTGAAGCTGGAAGTCCGTGGAGGAGCTGTTTTGTGGCAAGGTCTGAAAGCGCGCGGAAGTTGATGTGGCTGAGGCCGTGATGGAAGAGCATGGTTTTGTCGGAAAGGAGACGGCAGTGACAGGTGGAGGAATCTGAGGAAGGGAGCGGAAGGTGGGTCAGCGAGCACATTTGGATGGGAGGTACAACGAGAGTGTAGAGGTTGTTGGAGTTGAGGGTGAAGCGGACTAGATGAATGCCAGTTTTGGCGTCAAAGAGGTCACAGTAGTCGACATCATTGGGGAAGATGGTGATCACGCCTGCATGTTGGATTTCACGCTGCGCAAGGAGGTTGTAGCGGAGGGTTGGGGCACAGATGCCAGTGACTGTGCCGGATGGGAAGGCTGGACAGGGAACGGTGGAGGACCCATGGCATTGGATGGAGAAGCTAGAGTCGGCTCCCAGGAGTGGAGTGGGAGCCTGGTAGGGAACGAATGCGGTCTGGTCTTTGAGCACTGTGTGGGTGGCACCACTGTGTAGTATGAACTCGATCCCTTGTGTGGTTGAAACACCGATGTACTGCGACCCCTTCTCATTAATAATACCAGCACCAGGACATCAGATGGGGCGCTAGCAAGTGCGGTAGCAGGTTCCTCCACTACTTCGACCTGGTTCACGCGACGAGGTGGGGCCCAGTCAGGAGGACGCTTGGAGACACCGTGGGCGTCATACCACTCGTCATCCGGCTTCTTAAAGCAGGTTGCCTCAGGGTGGTTGGTGCCTCCACATTTTTGCCCTGCACGTGGACCCTTCCGAATGATGTAGGGGCATGGGGGAAACGAGTTGCGCCTCGGTCCTTGCTGGGAGCGGAATGGGATACCAAGGGTGTAGCGCACAGCATTCACGGATGCTTGAGCCGTAAGGTCCTTTTCAGCAGAAAGAAGGGCCAATGCGACTTTCTCGAAAGTGAGTTCCTTGATAGGGAGCTGCTTGAGCATAGAGCTGGTAACGTTGTAGGCCGGGGTGAGTCCTATGAGTAGCCCAGCTGCGGGAGCCTGTTCGGGGAAAGTGATCCCAATGTCCTTGAGTTCCTCATGGATGTTGCGTATTTCAGAAATGTAATCCGCCATGCCCGGGCATTCCTCGAGGCGGACCTGGAACATGCGCGGGATGAGGATGGCAACACCTACTGCCGTCTTGTCATGGAACCTGTCCTGGAGGTACTTCCAGATGTCATGCGCGGAGCGGAAGGTGCGGTAGGATTTGACAAGCTCAACCGGAGTGGTGGTGATGAAAACCCTAATAACTGCTGCATCCGCCTGCTCCCACACACTGAACTCGGTCTCATACTTGGTGGTGTTAGCTTCAAAAGCGGCCTTGGCTGTAGCAGTCTCTCCTTCGCCAAGAGGATCGGGAGGGAGAGGCATCTTTCCCTTGCCGCAGTTGAGGAGGATGTCCTTGAGGCAAATCCCCTTCAGCTCCGTGCTAAGGAGGTGCTTCTCCACTCCATAGCACCACTCCCCAAAGTTGGTGCTCGTCCCGTTGGGAGCGAGATTGAGAATGATCAGTTTTCTGACGAGGGTGGAAGTCGAAGTCGCCATTTCGCGCGGAGCGCAGCGCTAAAGTCTCCGATACGAAGCGGAGCGAAGAGGAGCTCAATCGCGGCGATTTTTGAAATTAGGGAAGGCCAAAACGCAATTTCGGCAAAGGAAAGCTCGGATTTTGGACTGCTGCTATGCTTCGCTGATGCCCCCTGATCTGCTTCAACACTGCCCTTAAACCGCTTCTCTGCTGCGCCGCTGAACCTGTTCCGCTACGCCGCTGACCTGTTCTGCTGCGCCGCTGAAACCTGTTCCGCTGCGCCGCTGACCCGTTCTGCTGCGCCGCTGAAACCTGTTCCGCTGCGCCGCTGATACCTGTTCTGCTGCGCCGCTGAACCTGTTCCGCTGCGCCACTGATACCTGTTCTGCTGCGCCGCGGAACCTGTTCCGCTGCGCCGCTGATACCTGTTCTGCTGCGCCGCTGAACCTGTTCCGCTGCGCCGCTGACCTGTTCTGCTGCGCCGCTTCTGCTGCGCTGCTGAAAACCTGATCGAAGTTAAGAAATTGAAAAAGACAAGAAACTTCCCGACGGAAGTGAACAATTCCAGAAGCTTGCGATGAAATACGTGGAAGAGACGGAATCGCCGTTGAAATCGGACGTGCGCGACGACGGAATGTGAATGCGCACTTGAACGGCGCGAAGATGTGAAGTCGGGGAACGCTACGCGTAGGAGCCAAAAACCGAAAGAGGTATAGAAGAGTTGAAGAGAACCATTACGACGCCAAGGATCGGATTCCGCGTGAGCGGAATTAACTAGCTCGATACCATGATAGAAATGGAGCTTAAGTGATTGATTAGTAGAGAAGGCAGTAGGCCTTAAGTACAAACAAGGTTGGGTTGAGCAAACCTAGGGAAAGGATGGGAAGGGAATCCTAGCAAATCTCCAATCCTAGCAAACTACACCCAACCCGCAAATAACCTACGCGATATAGAATATAGTACTAAAGTGTTGGCAACCTATGTTCTAACAAAAGGGATGGGAGTGGTCGGGCTATTTAAGAAGTGAAGTGACCGTGAGTCAGTGATGTCGGCTTTCCCCACTAACGGTTGGTAGCAAAATCATATCGACCGGCAAAATCGCAGACGTGTGCTGATTGGCATGCGAAATCGGCGATCCGCGCAGGTTGGCGGGCGAAATAGCCGATCTAGAAACCGGCGGACGAAAACGCCGATCAGGTAACACCCGACCCGACCCGACCCGGTACCCGCATGGCCGCCAAAATCGGGTCGCTATGGGGCGGGTCGGGTCGGTTGCTCATGCCTAGTTCGGTCGACCCGACTCGTCGGGTCTTTAGGCTCATGTCTACTTGCAATTAATCTGGCCAGAATGGCACGCACACATGTCTCAAACTGTTTGGATCCGATGGGCTGAAATCGATTCGACCAGACTTGTGCTCGGTGCTCATTCAGTTCGACCATACGAGAGAGAAATTCAACGCAATAGTGAACTCCAAATGATCCCTGGAACTCCCTATGAAACGCAAGAGTGGACCAGAGGCGGACTGATTTGATGTGTTGAACCGGTTCGATGCAATGCATGACATTTACAGCGTCAGTTCGACGTGTTGAGCATGAACTGGTTCAAGTCGAACCCTGACCCGGTTCGTCTCCAACCAGAAGGCGAGAAAAGGGGCATTCGTCTAGCCGAACTCAGTTGAAGTTATGGAGCCAATATTTCACCCGTGTTAGCATCCAGCACTATCACCAGCTCATATCTAAGTGACCGCAAACGCTTGACAGCCAATCGTTTGCTGTCAGACAACAGTCATTGATAACCACTGCCGTTTAGACAAAACAACTCGGGCAGTTCTTGAACAGAATTTTGCTAGCGGAAGGGAAACCACCACACCAAGCGAAAGAGAGTGAGGTAATATGTGGGCTGTACAGGAATTTGAGCTGCGTGAGCTCGGTGAGACTGCTTGGTATGCTCCCATGCAGCTGGTTGAACTCAAGAGACCTGGTGGCCATGGTGGTGAGAAGGCAGGAGGAGGGGAGGGATAGAACAGGACAATAAGGGCGGGTGGAGTACAAGGTTGAGTGGGTGAGTTGTCGTTAAGATTGGCGGGCTGAGCAGACACCGACCGTGGCTAGAGGCGTGATGGTGCTACTTACATAAATGCTCGATTTGCTTACTAAATTCATTTCTTTTATTTGCTTGCAAGGTCGTCAAAAGCCTGTCTTTACCGGTTCAGATCGACTTGGGCCAAACCAAGTTTCGCTGTCTGCTTATGCATTCAGAGGGTTGGATAGGATTAGGAAGGGTAAATACGAATTGAACTGGTTCAGTTCAACTCTTACAACAGTTTAGCCGAATTCAAATCGCACCCGTTCGGGATCAAGATTTTCTCAGGTCTAACCTTGTATCTCGATGCTTACCCAGCTCAGCCTTTTCTCTTGCACTTAAATCTCAGGCACTTTCATCTGGTTGGCCAGATTAGCACAAAAGTATGTAACAGTTTGGCTCTGATGTCTGGGCTGAAACCGTTTGCACCCAGACTGCGCACGGTGTGGATTCAGTTCGTTCGACCTATTTTGAACTACAATTTTTTCCTCAAACTCCCTAGAAAACAGACGGGTGGCCATACGAGACCCAGTCAGAAAGCTGAACCAGTGCATTGCAATGCACGAGATTTACAGCTGGAACATCCACTGGTTTGAGTCCAACCCTGACTCGGTTTGCCTCGAACCAGAACGTGAAAAAAACTAACCCCGGTTCACTCTGCTCGCCTCTAGCTTACAAACAGGGAGAACCAAGCAGGAGAGTTGGACAGGAAGCACAGCAGGAGAGTTAGATGGGCTTACAGAAAGAGGATGGCAAATGAAGGAGAGGGAAGACCAAGAACTAGCTTACATGATTACAAGTTTCGCATTGTTACCAATCTCAGCTGGAATGGAGCCAGTGAGCTGATTGCTACGAAGACTCCTGTATGGAGGAACAATGAGTGCGATTGCGAGAGAGGCTGAGGAAGAAGTAAGCAGCAAAGTTAGAATGTTCACGTCGGTCACTTAACAGGGCGGGCCAGAAAGGAATATAGAGTTCGTACAGTACACATAAGCACATTCCCCAACCGAGTTCGGCCCATGGCGGATTGCACATTCCAGAATTGTTTATATACTAATAAAAACAAGGCCATGGATCTTCATTCAATTTTGATATCCTTTGCAGGTCCATCAGGACCTTTGGGAATTGGAGCGAAAATACAAGTAAGAAAGAGCAGTGAGCTTTGTGATCGAGGAGGGCACAGATCCTGACAGCAAGTTGTACTCGAGATTGCTGGTGTGGGGGCGGTAGATGCACAAGAATAGAGACGGTGACAGAGTCGAGAGAGGAGATAGCATGGATGGAGTACACATGAACATAAGTCTGAGTCAACAGCTCGGCTTGTCGGCTCAGCTCGTCAGCAGGGCGAGCTGGGCAATGATCCTGCTCCGCTGGCTCTGCTGCTAGCTCGACGAGCCGGCCTCGTCAGGACCCAACAGTCAGCTCAATCAGTAGTCTGCTCGGCGGTGGGTCTTGAAAGGCTTGTCCAGAAGACGCGCCTCTTTTTCCCTGTCACCACGAGGATTTGCAAGGAATTGCAACACGGCGAGACGCACTTGTCATCGGGCAGTACCGGCCAGCTCGTGGAAAAGCCACAGCCGGGTTGTATTGGTTCAGCCAGCTTTCCACCAACGGACAAGCCATGAGCCGAGTCAGCTGCCGGCCCGGCTCCTCAAGCGGAGACGAGCTTGGCTTGTCAGCCTGCCGGCTTGTCTCGGCCCAGACTTACGTGGCAGAGTGGAGCCTTACAGGGATGCTAGAGATAGTAGAGAGCCAATATCCAAAGGGATTGAACCCGTGAGTTGATTATTTTTTAGGGACCTGCCAATGCGTCCAAATGCAAGAAGGAAGAAGCAGACTAGCAGGTGGGTTATATCTAGGGCAAGCACAAGGGCAGTGACATGTGTCAAACAGAGGGCAAAGGTATTTTCCAATCAAGACGAGCCTCTAGGATCTTGCACATATGTGCCAGGTTGGAACAACAGCCTTCATGCAGCATATGGCTTAGTTGGAATATACGCGTTTCGCGTTTCATACGCTAGCGTTTATCCGCTAGCGTATAAACGCCGAACGCTTCTTGGGAGGCTTCCTGTACGCAGTGAATACGCAGGCCCGGGCACCTAAAAATTATCCCCGGGCAGTTTGTTAGGTCTAGAGTGGGGGATGGGCGAGGTGCAAGGCACGAAGTTGGTGCCCGCAGTCTAGTCATACTCGTCGATAAAATGAGGTCGGCGAGATCGAGGTGAAATGAAATGTAGAAATGTCGAGACTAGGGCTGACTGGCTGGCTGGTAAGCACCGTGGGGTTTGTTGGGGGGGTGGTTTTGGACAGGTTGGAGTTCGTAGATGGTATGGGTTTCAGTGCGGTACTAATATGAAATTCAACATTTGCATTCCCCATACACGCGTCCAAACTTCGGAGTCACATTTCCGCTCGCCTAGACCACCGATTAGCATTTCAGCTTCCGCGAAATGCTCACCAAGAAATTCCGCACCTATTCCGCGATTTTTTTTCCCGGGCAGCCCTAAAACATTTCTGACTGCGTATTGCGTTTTCCCTAGCGTATAGCGTATAGCGTTTAAACGCAAGCGTATAAACGCAATACGCTTGAGGCTCTGAGCGTATACTCCAACTTAGGCATATGGCACATCATAAGGGGCAGCAAGGTGAGCATGGGATAAGTGGACAGGTGGCAATGCCAAGTGTGACCACACTTCACTTTGGGTGAGTATGGTGGAATACGTGGCCCTGCCCCTTCACGGCGAACGCATTCATGACGTTCGCCAGGTTCGTGACATTCGCCAGCTTCGTGACATTCGCCAGGTTTGTGACGTTCGTGGCGAATGCGTTCGTGATGGCGTGCGAACGCCTTTGCCTCTGTCAGTCGTTTGACACGAATCCAACGAGTTCGTGTCAAAACAGGACCAGCTTTGGTACGGTGCACACGCCTACTTGTATTGTACTGACCTGGCATATATTTTTACATTGAAAAAACCTATCTAGCTGGCTGATTTGGTGAGCATGTGTCTAAACCTTCATTTGACCAAACCGGTGCTTGGTGCTCATCGAACCGGTGCTTGGTGCACATCAAACCGGTGCTGTGAGGTAATGTGTGGGTCGTACAAGAATGTGAGCTGTGTGAGCTGGGTGAGAGTGCTTGGTATGCTCCCATACAGCTGGTTGAAGCGGAGAGACCTGGTGGCCATGGTTGTGAGCCGGAATGATGAGAGGGGAGATGGGAAGGACAGAAAGGGAGAATGCGGATGGATGGAGTTGTCAGAACTTGAGCTTAGAATCCATCCAATAGTAGTGAGCTCAAAGCTTTTGAAGTACATTGGAAATGAGCAACGAAAGGATGGGGAAGGGAATCACGGACAATCTCTAGGGATTGGGGGTAATACCAACACAATCTCCAATTGGTGGGTTGGAGATTGCTTGGAGATCGCATTTGGGTTTGGTTGGGATGTGGGTGTACACCCAACCAAACACAAAGTGCAATATACACTAACCTAGTATATAAAAGTACAAGTACAAAATGTAAGATTGAGGGCTAACATTAACAAGAGTAACATGTTGAGTAGACAACACACCGACCCGTGGCCTACAGGCGTGGCCCGTTTGCTCAGTTACTTGCAATGCCCAAATATATTGTTTTCGGCTATTTATACTGCTAATTTTATCTCAGGTTCAGATTAGGCCCAGTTTCTTATTGTTATCCTAGGCTGAACACGCCCTAGGTTCAGTTAGAGTTTCGCCCCAAACTGCTGTACATTCTTGTAAAGATGGGCACATAAGTTGGTCATTTACGTTTATGTGTACGTCTCTTTACGCTTACGTACAGTTACGTTACGTACGTTTACGCACCTCCCAGGTTAAGCCCATACATACGGTCGGCTAAAAACTTCTTCGATGCTGCCCCATTTTACTCCTAATGATACACGAGTAATGTAATATCACGCCTTTACTAACACTACTACGACCTAGACCTGAGCAGAATGTTGACGTCAGAAACATACTAAGAAAAAAAAAGGAACCAGCCCGGAGTAAGTAAACGTAAGTACACGTACGTTTACGTGTACTTTACGTGTACGTGGGCCTCCAGGACGTAAATGACCAACTAGGTTCACTTGGGGTTCAAGTTGTACCTTGCTATGTTCGGATTGCACATGCGAACATTCAACCGCTGACATGCATACAACGGTTCAAACCAAACTGAAGGGGTTCAGTTCAGTTTCTACAACGGTTCAACCCAATTCGAAGTGAACCCGTTCGGGTTCAATACTTGCTCAGATCTAACCTTGTATCTCAATGTTTTGCCCAGCTCAGATGTTTCTCTAGTCACGTACTATTCCCTATTTCGAGGCATGAGCCAAGTCCGGTTTTCCATGTGACGATTTTTTTCAGTCGAAGCCAAATTGACCTGGATTGAAACGGTATGCGAGCACGTAGCATCATGGTTCTGTGGGTCAAACCGTACCGGCTCGATTGGTAAGGTCACAAGCCGGTTAAACCCGAACCAGTTCTATTATGAATCGAACTAGTTAGTGTTTTATTTGAGTGGGCAAGAACCAAACAGCCCTTGATTCGGCTGTTTCTGATGCCTACAGAGAAGGGACAATCGCCACATAAAGGAAGGAGAACCCACATTAATCTCCAGCACTAGCATCTGGTTGGCCAGAACGGCACAAATGTCTGAAACAATATGGTTCTCATGTAAGGGCTGAAACTGATTCCACCCAAACTGAGCACACTGCTGCTTCAATGGACCATACAAATCGACCATATTTTGAACTACAATTGTTCCCCTAAAACTTCCTAGAAAACATATGGGTGGACCAGAGCTGTACGGGACCCAGTCGAAGCACTGAACGTGTTCATTGCAATGCACTATATTCACGGGTGGAACATCCATCGGTTTGCTAAACTGGCTTCCACCGCTTTTGGGCTTGAGTTGAGCATATACCGGGTGAAATTTTGAGTATATGCAAAACGTTGCTGTTTTTCATGGCAATCAATGCATGGCGATCAAAACGCACGTTGGAGGCCTAGGGTGTTGGAAATGTGGCTTCAATGTTTGGATTCGCGCTGGTTGGAGATGCAAATTCAAAATTCAGGGTTCTGCCAGTTCGAACCGAGGCCAATCTACGAACTCCAACCTTTCCAATACGTCCCCTCAAAAAACATTCTACGTCAAATCTACTTCTTGTTCACTCTTCCATCAGTCCATTCCCGCCTTGCCTAGTCACTCACTCCTACTGTCTCGACATGTCTCGAGCAGTTCCCAACCCACCATATGACCTCACTCAGGGTCCACTTACTAGGGAGTAATTTAGCCTCATCGGGAAAAAAAGGAACCTGAAACACAACCCTTATGAACCCCCTTGTAAACTACACCTAGGGTTCTTCACACTGCCCGGGTTATTTTTACCCTGCCCCATAAATCTATGCCCGGATTGAGGCCAAACGCGAATATGCCAAGATAGCCGGCTTGAGTCCAACCCGGACTCGGTTCGCCTAAAACCAAAACGTGAAACAAAAAAAAAACAAAAACAAAAACAAAAAAAAAAAAACACCAAAAAGAAAAACCGGTTCACTCTGCTCACCTCCAGCATACAAACAGGGAGAACCAAGCAGGAGATTTGGACGGAAAACACAGCAGGCAAGTTAGATGGACTTACTGTTAGAACTTGAGCTTAGAATCCATAGATTAGTAATGAGCTTGAAGCTCTTTAAGTACATCGCAAATGAGCCAGGTAGGGATGGGGAAGGAATCGGGGGCGATCTTGGGGGATTGGGGGTAATCCCAAGGCAATCTCCAATTGGTGGGTTGGAGATTGCTTGGAGATCACATTTGGGTTTGGTTGGAATGTGGATTTACACCCAACCAAACACAAAGTGCATACTAAACTAAGCTAGGATATAAAAAGTGCAAGTACAGAATGTGAGATTGAAGAGGGCGGCAAATGAATGGGAGAGCAGAGCAGGAACTAGCTTACAGAAAAACTAGTTTCGCCATGTTACCAATCTCAGCAAGAATGGAACCAGTGAGCTGATTGTTACGGAGATTCCTGTATGGAGGAACAAGTGCGATTGCGAGAGAGGCAGAGGAAAAAGTAAGCAGGAAAGCCAGAATATTCATGTCAGTCGCCTAACAGTACGGGCCAGATAGAAATGCAGGGCTAGTACACTACGCATGAGCCATTCCCCCAGCCGAGTTCGGCCCATGGCGGTACGTCATGTGTCCAGTTGGGCCTTCTTTTGTCTCGGTTGGCCAGCCTGAACCTGGCCCAATCGAACTGGCCCGTGCTGCGTTGATTTCCTTGTGATCAAGCAAGCCGGTCCGTCACGAGTTACAGCCCGTCGTAGGTAGGCATGTTGAATTCGAGAGTGCATTGACCAACCCATGCACAATGCTACATTCAATCAACCATGTCGGGTCGAGTCTGGGTTGGTCCATCCTCATCCGATGGTGGGAGGCATGGGCAACACCCAAACACGAACGTGTTTGGGGGGGGGCTCAAATACATGTCGAACACCTCATGTGGTCGAACAGAACATGTTTGGTTTGCCACAAACGAATTTCTCAGGGGTTATCCATGGGCAATGGGTGGAGTTTCTCGCCTTGGCGCGTAGAGGAACTCATCATATAGCAAGAGACCAGCCCTAGTGGAGCCGCGCGAACCTGCATTTATTATGAAGTCGTCATAAGCTTGCACTTTCCGCGAGATGTTTCTTAACTCGCACGAGCTGTCTTCATTAGCGAGCTTGCCGGCGCCGATCCACTCAGATCGGCGGTTTAGCTGTTCATATAACCACTGGTCGTGTGACAAAGTGTCACTCACTAAGCTCCTTCTTTCCTTTCAAACCAAGTTCGTCTGATTGGGTTCGATTCGAGCACTTCGGGTCAACCTGATTTCTACCCTAGCCAGCCTATGGGCCAACTATATGGTCTGGCCAGTGTAGATTCGTCACGAACCTATGTTGGAATCCCACAGGCTAGCTCAACTTTGGCATGATAATCCTATGTTTCGGAACTGTTATAATCCTACGTTACTGACATTTGCTGACATTTCCTACATTTGTTATTCCTAAGTTTCCAAACTGTTCTTGTTTCCTATAAGTGTGATAGTGCCTAGTAGCACTTAAACTCTATAGTGTAAACACCTGTTGCAAAAAGGGTTGCAGACCCTGTATTGTGCCGGCCCTGGTTTAGCGCTTGCGCATGCCTAACTAGTACTAATACAGTTGATTGCACAATCCAAAATTATTATGTACACGGAAACAAGGCCATGGATCTATATTCCATATTGTTATCCTTTGCAGGTCCATCAGGACCTTTGGGAACCTGGGCCTTTACAAGAAAGTAAGAGAAGCGAGCTTTGTGATCGAGGAGGGCACAGATCCTGACAGCAAGTTGTAGTCAAGAGAGCTGTTGGTTGTGTGGGGGGTAAACGTACGGGAATAGAGAAGGTTGCAAAGTCGAGCGAGGAGATAGCATGGATGAAGTACACATGAACAAAGCCTGAGTCGACAGCTCGGCTTGTCAGCTCAGCTCGTCGGCAGGGCAAGCTGAGCAATGCTCCTGCTCCGCCGGCTCTGCTGCTACCTCGACGAGCCGGCCTCGTCAATACCCGGCAGTGCTTGATGAGTAGCATGCTCGTTGGTGAGCTTTGTCAGGCTTGTCCAGGCCAGGCTGAGGGAGTTTTCCATCAAAATGAGCCTCTAGCCACGAGGACGGTACCAATGTGAACTGGTTTGGTTATATAACGCTTAGAAAACAATCCAGTTTGCTCCGAACTGAACTTGTTTAGCATAAAACCGGATCATGGTTCGTTAAATAGGGTAATGCAAAGAACCGAACTGGTTCGGCCGGACTAGGTTGGTTCTGTAACAAACAGACCTGGGCCGTTTTGCCGGGACCCTGAGCAATTCGGCCGACCTTTTTTTAAGTTTGGCCAAACTATTTTTCAGAATTCTAAGTTCGGTTTGACATGAGGTCGAACCGGTTGATCGAAAGGAACGAGGGATTGGTTAGATGCTTATATCTCATTTCATTATAGACAGCATTTCCGTGTGAAAATTACATGGGTTTACATGGGTGAAATGTTGCAAACGGGTAATCGTCAGATTTATCTCTTCAAGTGTCGAGGAGCGATATAGGATGGGGTAGGCGGAGCTAGGTAAGAGAGAGAGGGTGAGCTCAATGAGCTCAATCTCTCCAGTTGGAATCTGCTGCTGCTGTATGTGAGTCTCATGACAAGCGAGACAGCAGGGACGTGCTGGTTGCAGCGAGTGTCAATGTGGCCCGGCGTGAACGGAACATTAACATGTTCGGGCGAGGTCGGACATGTTCAACCTGAATTGGCAGAGATATTATTTGCATGTTCTGTTGACCTCTGACGTGTTCAAGGCGAACGAGAAGGTGTTCGTCTTTTGCTCAACGGCCAGGTTTGATAGGGCAGGATGTTTGTTAAAGTACAGGACCTGCTCTAAGTAAAGCCGGATGGTAAGGTACAAACCAGGTTTGGTACTGTGTACACGCCTACTTGTACTGTAACTACATATATTTCTAGATTGCAAAAACCAATTAGCTGGCAGAATTGGTGATCATGCGTGTAGACCTATAATGCGAACGATGATACTGGCTGACAAACATGGTAGCACCTAGCTTCTTGCCAACTTGTATGCCACTTACAAGGCTTTGATTTGAATAAGAGCACTGACACTGGCAGGAATGCTTCCTGAAGCTGGTTCATAGTAGCATTATATTTCGCATCACAACAACCCCAGTGTATGCTTACCAGATACACGCAAGCAAGGCATCAAAACATCCCTGAGATTAAATGGACATAGGCGGTAATTACTCAAGAACTATCAGCTTTGATATATCAACTAATAACATGTCGGACGGACGAGACAGTCTGAGCTGATGGATCAGCTTGTCGAATCGGCAGCGCGAGCTGAGCCAACGATCCTGCTCCGCCGGCTCGGCTGCTCGGCTGGCTTGGCTTGGCAGTCAGCTCCGATGAGTAGTCTGATCATGCCGAATCTCGACTGTCATGTCCAAAAGTTGTGAAACTTTTACCCCGTTCGACGGGATCACACACTTTTCATCGAGCAATCCCAGCCGACACTGGAAAACTTGGAGTCGGGTCGATTGGCTCGATCAGCTTGCTACGACGGACGAGCCACGGACCGAATCAGCTGGCGGCCCAGCTCGTCGAACAGAGTCTCCAGCATAGCTTGTCAGCCTGCCGGCTTGCCTCGGCTCAAAACAAGCCAGCTCGGCCCAAACTTATGCTCATGTGGCAGAAAGAAGCCTTACAGGGCTGCGAAAGATAGTAGAAAGCCAATTTCCACAGGAATTGAACCTGTCAGCTGATTTTTGCTCATGGACCAGACCAGCAGGTGGGTTTTAACTGTGTCAAACAGAGGATGGAGGGATTTTTCCATCGAGGCAAGCCTCTATAAATGAGGAGTGGAATGTTGAACAACATTTGAACCACAACCCATCCATTGATAACACTGATGACGGGGTGGAAGTGCATCAAGTCACCCCCTTATGCTGTTAGAAAGCCTCTCCTGTGAGTGGAATCTAACAGCACTAGACCAGAGTGTCACTAACAGGTAAAAGACTTGGGTGAGTGTGCCGATGGTACCAGGAATGCTGCCAGACAGCTGGTTGTGTGAAAGGTCTCTGAATAAAAAAGGAAGTAAGGTGAGGTGAGCGGATACAAGAAAAGACACGGAAATTATTCAAAATTTGTGCGGGGCAGCGATGATGTTGAACAACAGACGAAGGGTGAAAAATGAAGGACGATGATCGTCCTTGCGAGATAAATGAGACGAACCAAAACACTAGAAGAGTGTGAAACAATAGGAGTGATGGAGATATGATACTAGGCAAGACATGAGCATCGAACCAATCCAGACGAAGCAAGACGCTAGAAGAATGTGTAGTGAAACAACAGGAGTGACGGAACTATCATGTGACGGTCCAATGACATGACTATTGAACCAAACCTTAGTTGTGTTTGATCAAATAGATTTGAACAGTTGAATCAAAGTTTGAGACTACAGTGAGTAATGAATGAGGATGATCATGCTTTGGAGACAGACGGTTGACACAAGACTTGAGAGGCTACAAGAACGTAAAACAACAAGAGACAAAGAAACATGGAGTATGGCATCCATTTGTTAAATAAAAAGCATAAGAGATTGGTTAGAAGCGAGGGGCAACTGTGAAGAGAAAAAAGGGGAGCGAAAGAAAGGGGAGAGCACAGGAGATGTGCAAAGAAGAACCAAAAAAATATCTTCTTCTTACATGCTTTTCAACTTGGTGAGCACGCAAATCTCCGCCGGGATGGGGCCATTGAGCTGGTTGAAGGCAAGCGACCTGTCCCAATCAGTGGAGCCAGTGCGACGGGGGCGAGAGGTCGCAGGGGCGAGGGCGTGGAGCTAGGTAGACACGTTAGCAAATTGCGAGTTGAGTAATGCTCTTCTTTTTTGCGGTACCTGGTTCGAGTAACGATGTGAGGGTAGTAGTATTACTCCGATGAGAAGCTTCTCGACTCCCACTGCCTCGTAACTCGCACTTCTACTGTTTATTATGTCGTCATGAGTATTTTGTTACTCATCACGGAGCTGGTAGTAGTCGCCTACATCCGTCCGTGTCTAGGTAGGTTACGATGACCATTACGATGATCCGCATAGCAAGTAATACTCGCCACGCCCACGGTGTGTTGCATCACTAAAACAACAATGAAGCGATTGGCCATACGACAGATGGACGTGCCAAATCCTTTGTCAAACGCATATGGATGGATGTGGTGACGAAGATATCCACGGGAGAATGCAGAAGCATGTGTGGGACTTGGCTCGTTAAAGCTACGACTCGGCAGTGAAACAAGAGTTCGGTTCAAGGTGCAAAAATACGACCCTTTTTTTATGTAGCGTATAATATGTTATCGTACACAATCCCAGAAGACATCATGGAGCAGTGGCAGAAATAAGGCTTTTTTTTGCACCTTGGCTCAGTTACAAGAGAAGAGCACAAGGTAGAGGCACATGAGATGAGAGGCAGAAGCACGTGAGGCAGAAGCACGCGAGGCAGAAGCACGTGAGGCAGAAGCACGTGAGGCAGAAGCACGTGAGGCAGAAGCACGTGAGGCAGAAGCATGTGAGGCAGAAGCATGTGAGGCAGAAGCATGTGAGGCAGAAGCATGTGAGGCAGAAGCATGTGAGGCAGAAGCATGTGAGGCAGAAGCATGTGAGGCAGAAGCATGTGAGGCAGAAGCATGTGAGGCAGAAGCATGTGAGGCAGAAGCATGTGAGGCAGTAGTTCAAGCTTGAGAAATAGGAAATTGCTTCTTAGCTGTACGCAAACTCGTTGGAAGCACAGAAGTAAAAGATCTCACAAATACGTCAGTGCAGTCAGCTTTGTGATTGGGGAGGGCACGGAGCCAGAAAGCATGTTGAAGAAGAGAGAGCTGAGGGAGGCAAGGCATGTACATTGACAGAACAAAGAGGTTGCGCAACGTGACAACAGCAGGATAGAATCGCCAGATTTGTCCCTAATATTCAATATCCTTCATTCACTATCCACCATGTGCTGTAACTTCTCAGCTCTTTAACCCATCCCGATCCTTTTACTCTCCCCTTGACTTCTCCAAATCGCACTCTCGTTACATATCCAATCCCAACCCGTCTACTCCAAGAACTCTACTCACATGGGGGGGAGCTCATGTTTACTCACACATTTTTCCCTTCCCATATTTCGCACTTACCTGACTTCCATATTCGCAGACAGACACTGAGTAATTCTAGCATCTGCCCCCCAATCCCCCCCGAGTGTGAGGCGCATTTAAGCTAGCATGAAAACATGTAGTGCAGAAAAAGCTAGCCACAAAAAAAAAAAAAAAAAAAAAAAACTACTTCACAGACCACCTCTTTGTCCCATCTGGGAATGCTGGCAGTGATGGGAGGAACGGAACACAAGTGAGAAAGGGAACGAGCAAGGGGGGGAGAGGCTAAGGCCAGTAGGGCAGAGTAGAGGGCAGTGCAAAAAATGCAACTGACAAGCAGCAGTGGAGAAGGGACGAGTGATGCCTGAAAGAGCAGCAGAAGCAGAAAACCTCACAGGGAGACCATGCTGGTCAGTGAGCCAATGTCAGCCGGGATAGCGCCAGTGAGCGTATTGTTGAAGAGCAACCTGCACGGAAAGACAGAAAGGGACAGAGAGAGAGGGATTGTGAGCGTACGAGCGTGCAGAAAGGCGTGTGTGAGCACGGACAGGGAGAGAGACGACCAGAACAAAGAAAATACGTGGTAGAGCCTTGATCGGTGTGCATCACTCACATGTGTTTCAGCAGGCTGAGTGCAGTCACAGCGGCAGGGATGCTGCCAGGCAGCTGGTTGCTTGCGAGATCGCTGTGAGGACACGATGACGGTGGCAAGGGGGGCGAGCTTAGCGGTTGAGCAAATCACAAGGGAGAAGAGTAGTGTTGCTAGAACATTAACCACGCGGCCTGCCCACCTTTGCAACCAGACCGGCCCGTATTGCCCCCACCCATCGCCGAGCCTTGGCCATGGGCTTGAGCACGGGTCCGAGCCGGAGCCAGCTTGGCCTGAGCTGGGGTAGGGTCATCTTGGGTCGGGTTGCTAGGCCAAGAGCCTCTAGTGGCTTGCCTGTGATTTGGTTCTGCTCGAGTACTACTCGATGAAGTCGAAATTACTGTGGATACTCAAGGAAGACCATGGTGATGTGGAGCACTGTGATGTGGAGAAGTATGGGCCTAGCAGAGAGTAATAATACGAAACAAACTGAAAAGAACCAGACCTGAAGCTGATAGCACGACGACTCGGATTTCTACTCCTCGACAACTAGCCACTACAAGACTCGCCGAAGCACCACGCCATATGCCAGGGCAGAATTGCTGCAGGCTGTAACGCAAAATAAGTGGCCAAGCCTCGGCTCGGTTAGTTGATAAGGCCAACTAAGCCAGCCACATGCTTAGACAGCTAGCCACAAATTTGTTTTTGGCCCAAACGACACTTTGTGAGGAGAGGACCATTCAAGAGGGTGAGGAACAGCGGATTGGATGGTAAGCGGGCTAGGGATACAAGGAGAAGGGGGGGGGGGGGGGGTGAGGGGGGGAGGAAGTAGGGCAAGGGGTTTAGAGGGAGGCCAGATGTGGGAAGAGGGGGGGAGGGGGAGAAAGAGGGAAGTGTGAGAGGAGGAAGAGGTGGGCTAAAAAAAGAGATGGTGAAAAGGAAGTGGAGCGTAGCTGTGCTGTGGGATGGAAGGTGGAGTGCCACGGGAACACGACGGCAAGAAGTTCGGCAACAAGGCGCTGAGGACGTACAGATAAGTGAGCTTCCTGAGGCTGCTGAGGGAATTTGGAATCTGCCCTCCCAGCTTGTAGTTCCGGAGTCGCCTGTTTGATGGTGTGTGAACTATGGTGTGTGAATGATGATGTGTGAATGATGGCGTGATGTGACAATGACGCCAACGGTGTGTGTATGATGGTGGGTGTGGGTGTGTGTGTGGGTGTGGGTGTGGGTGTGTGTGCGTGCGTGCGTGCGTGCGTGTGTGCGTGCGTGCGTGCGTGCGCGTGTGTGTGTGTGTGTGTGTGTGTGTGAGTGTGACAATGATGGAGAGTCAAATAATGGTGAGCACTGCGCATGGGTTCTCACGAATGGCGATAAGTACGGGCCTCTGGAACCTCTGTCTCCCATCCTCTCACTCTCAACCACCCACTCCCAGCCTCTCACGCCCATCCTCTCACGCCCATCCCCTCACTCCCATCCTCTCACTCCCATCCTCTCACTCACATCCTCTCACTCACATCCTCTCACTCCCACCACCTCCTCATCGCCTCCTTCTCATCGCCTCACAGGTCAATGATCATGCCGGAGGGGTCGCACGTGAGGCCCGTGGCACTGCTGCAGTCCGGACTCGCACCACTCCACCCGGGGATGCTCCGCCCCCATGCCGCCTGGCACTCCTGCAGGAATTGCACTGCAACGAGTGGCAGTGGGTGGGGACAGGGGGGCGAGGGGGGGGGGGTGAGGTGGGTAGGGAGGCCCTCCTCAGGAGGGGAGGGTTTGAACACTCTCCACAACAAACCCCCATGGCTGACATCGGTCTCAAGACGACTTGCTGACTATTGATTGCCATCCTGTGTCGCCTCTCTTTCGCAACGCTTATGCACAACAGAGAGAACAAGGGGGACAGCAAAAAAGGCACGAGTGGCGAGAGCAAAGGGGACAGCAGGGAAGACATGGGTGGAGAGAGGAAGGGGGCCAGCAGTAAAGGCATGACTGGAGCGCACCAGGGGGCAGCAGAGGCATGACAGGGCAGAACGTGCGAGGAAGCAGTGGGTGCAGGGGCAGGGCAATTGTTGCAGAACTAGGGGAGGCGCGGGTGAGGGATCAGGGAGACATCACAAGGGGCGGTAACAGGGAGTGGCAGAAAGTGGGGACAAAGTGTAGCTGAGGGTACGTTCGGCGTAGAGCCCGATAGATGGGGTGTAGTGGGAGACCTAGTGTACGGGAGCCTGATAAGTAGGTAGTAGGAGGATCCAGGCATGGCGGGTATAGGCTGCTGTAATGTGTGCCTTTTTCAATGGGAATATACGCTTACCAAAGCTTATGATGATGAACCCTGAATGTAGAAGAGTGGCAAATAAACATCATTTTAAACATGTAATGTAGACGAAACAATCCAATATAAGATTATTATTATGAAGCCCAAACCCCGTAAAGAGTATAACGCAATGATATCAAATCTCCGAAATGGCTCCCATGAAACTCCAACAAAACTTCCGCTGAAGGGTTTCCGCCTAGTAGGTCTGAGCAGAAATGCATTGTAGAAGCGGTCGAAAAGCATTCGACAAAGCAGACGGAAAGCATTGGACAAAGCATTTTGAAAACTGCTTTTACTTTCTCATGAAATCGTTTGGAAACCTACGGTTGTAAACCATTTGGAATAACACCAGAGCAACTCTTTGCGACAGGTTTCTGGACGCATGATTTTTGTGATGAGCTTACCCACAGGATCGAGCGCGTATGCACAACCCTAATCCCTGAACATGTCAAATACCTTGTTCGGGACGGGACGCCCATGCTCTCTGCCCCTTGGCCTTACACTCTGCCCCTCGCCCTTGCTCTATGCCCCTCTACCTCTCTCTCTGCCCTTCGCAGTTGCTCTCTGTCCTTCGCCCTTCACCCTTCTGTCCTTCGCCCTTCCCCCTTCTGTCCCTCGCCCTTTGCTCTCTGTCCTTCGCCCTTCCCCCTTCTGTCCTTCGCCCTTTGCTCTCTGTCCTTCGCCCTTCCCTCTTCTTTCCTTCGCCCTTTGCTCTCTGTCCTTCGCCCTTCCCCCTTCTGTCCTTCGCCCTTTGCTCTCAGTCCTTCGCCCTTCCCCCTTCTGTCCGTCGTCGCCCTTGCTCTCTGTCCTTCGCCCTTCCCCCTTCTGTCCTTCGCCCATTCCTCTCTGTCCTTCGCCCTTTGCGCTCTGTCCTTCGCCCTTCTCTCTCTGCCTGAGTCGCCCTTGCTCTCTGTCGTTCGCCCTTCGCTCTCTGTCCTTCGCGCTTTGCTCTCTGTCCTTCGCCCTGCCCCCCTCTGTCCTTCGCCCTCCTTCGCCCTTCCCCCTTCTGTCCTTCGCCCATTCCTCTCTGTCCTTCGCCCTTTGCGCTCTGTCCTTCGCTTCGCCCTTCTCTCTCTGCCTGAGTCGCCCTTGCTCTCTGTCGTTCGCCTTCGCTCTCTGACCTTCGCCCTTCGCTCTCTCCCCCTGGCCTTCGCTCTCCCTTGCCATGCGGCCATCGGTCGTGCCCGCCGCACGCCGGCGGCTCGTGTCAGTGACAGCATGATCGCACATGGCGGGACATCGTGAAGCGAGTTAGCGGATCACGCCGTGACATTCGCCATTTCGGTGATAACCAGGCACGTTACTAATGCTGGAGCGAATCTTCCGCTTACGCCGCGGTGGTCTCGGGCCGACAATTGCCACGCGGCGAATGATCCTATTCGATCAAAAGTGGCAAACTCCTTCGAGCGCCACTTGCCTTGAGTGGCTTCGATCGGAACGGCCTTCACCATCCTCACGACGGGCGCGACAAGGACGGCGAGCCACCATGCCAGAGCCCACGCGCGCTGCACGCGCTCGCGATATCGTGCCATCGCCGTTGAGCCCGCAGCCGGGCCAATAATCGCAAATCGCTACTCAAACTTGGCCCTCGCCTCCTCAACCCTTGCCTCCTCGGGGGCCCCTCCCGCAACAGACACACTCGACCTATCTAGGTTCGCCGACCCACCGACTCTCAACGCAAGAAAAGCGCTAAAGCGGTACAACGGCCAGCTAGGTGGTAACACCAATTAGAAGTAGTTGAGGAGTGGGTTGTGCTTGTCCAAATGTTCCTTCTGCTCCTCGCCCACGTTCATTGCGGTTCAGAGTTGATGCTACATCCTTGGATTATTCGGGTTAGTGACTCGACTTGGTAAGATATTGCCTTTCAAATATATTATACTTGAATATCCTCCCATATCTTTTCTAGCATTGACCTTAGTAACTTCATCTACTTGTCGTGGTTGCGCTAGGGTTCTACATCATGTCCTGTTCTTTTGGCATGTCTAACTCGTACGCTTACTGCTCACTAATGAATACAGTTACCACATTTTCAAAAGTAAAAACTATTGTACACTATTATTTACTCGTACACGTGAAGTATATAAAATACGGACACAACCTATACGTGCGCCGAGTCGTGAACATGACTCGCAACGCACGTAGCAGGCATGTTACTAACGCATCGTACGTTCAAGGTCTACATATTGTTCAACGACGCACATCACATCACATACACAGCTCAACAGTAGCGCTAATGTGCTCCTCTCCCTTCCTCCCTCCCATGCCAACCTTCTTTCCCACCCTCCTCCCTTCCTCCCTCCATCTCTCTCTCCCTCCTTATGGCTAGACTGATGCTAGCTAGTTGTAAACTTTCAATTCAGGCTCTCTCATTCCGTCCAACGTGACGATGACCTAGGTAGTTGTCAAACTATGTTAATATGTATAGGGTAGGTTGTATTGAGTTATGTCCTAGGGGGTACATGTCTACCTCACAACATTGTTCTTGTAACCTCCCCCCCATTTCCCTAGTCGAGCATTATTCTTCCTACCTATCTTAGAGGTAGGGAGATGGTATCAGCTAGGTAGTTCCTAGGACTTAGCCCATATCGTCCCGTGTTGCCCTGTATCGCCCCGTTACGCGCTGCCTTGTGCTGCCCTATGCTGCCCTCGCTGCATTGTTAGAAGCCGCGCCCGCATGCGCAGCAGTGCATACACGCAGCAGCGCTCCGAGTGCACGTACAGGAGCACGCGCACGCGCAGCAGCAGCTTTAGGCACGTGTACAGCAACAAGCGCACGCACTGCAAGCTCCGCGCGCACGCTGCCTGACACACGCTTCCCACGCCGTTTCGCGCTGTGCCGCCTCGTCCCGTCACGAGCAGCAGCAGCCACGCGCACAGCTGCACGCGCAGCATCAGTAGCTGCCACGAGCGCCATAGCAGCCCCGCAGGCCATCGTTCTAAGGCCCCACGACCCCTCGTTCTAAGACCTCGCAGCCCCCCGTTCTAAGGCCCCACGACCCCCTGTTCTAAGTCCCCGCGGCCCCTCGTTGTAAGGCCCCGCAGGCCCCCGTTATAAGGCACCGCGGCCTCCCGCTAGAAGGCCTCGCGGCCTAGCACACACCGTACCATGCTCGACCCCTCTCAACCGCACTAGGCCATGCTACCGCCCCGTGTTCGTATTGCACTTCTCGCAGCGGCTAGAGGCTGCATCCTTTCTCATTTTCACGCATCCTTCGTAGGGTTGCGTACTTTTTCCTGGGCGCCGGACTAGTGTTTAGTCTTTCGCCCCTCGTTGTCCCTGGTCGTTCCTAGCCTTACGTACACTCGCTATGGCGTCCGCTCGAATGCTGCGCTCGACGCGGAGGGTACAGCCCTAACTTTCCCATCTGGCTCCTCCGCACCGAGCAATACCTCCAGAGCCAGCGCCAAGATAACGATACGCTCCGGGCGCACGCTTCTAGTAACCTGCCTCCGCCTCTGCCCCCTGCTGCCCTGACTGCGGACCGTATTGACGTAGAGCAGGAGAGTTTCAATAAGGCACGTATAGCTCTGTCGGTGTGGCCGTCTCGCGACGTTGCAACCTACATTACCCTCAACAGCCTTCTCCCTGAGACTGAGGAGGCCCACTTCACCCAGGTTTGATCTGCCAATGACTTGTTTGCTGCGATTAAGACCTGTTACTCCATTCCCTCCTCCGTCCCTCTTGGTCGTCTCTTCATGTCGTCCTTGTTTCCCTGTCCTAGGCGCGTTTGACCGTACTTATCATTCACCTTCGCTCGCTATACACCAGCTACCGTGCTGCTTGTACTGAGGCTGGGCTTGCACTATTCCCCCTGGCCATGCCAATCACTATTGACTTCATGGTCACTAGCCTCCATAACCACCTTGCACCTGTACGCGACGGGCGTCTTCGGAAGCACCGTAGTGCGCTAAACATTGACGCCATTGATGCAGAACTTAAGGACGTCGAGAGCAACCTCCGCTGCGTTGCCTCCGCCTCTGGACTTGCTTTGTAGTCAATGCATTGGGATCTACTTTTGTGCTGTATGCCGATGTTGACTATAGTGCTGCTGGATCTGTTTGCTCTCGTGTTTGCAGCTTAGGATCCTTGCTTGTTGCTAATGTAGGTGCTCGTGCTTCCAGACTAGGTGCTTGTGTAGCTACTAGCTTGGATGCACCTACGGCTGACACGTCGCTCGCTTTCACGCTGGACTCGGGCACATCTTAGTTCTTCCGCGACCACACGGCTCTCACACCGTTTCCTGCTCCGGTTCCGGTTGCACTGGCTGATCCTACTTCAGGATCAGGAGTTGCCGCAGCTTTACCACCCTCCCATGCCCGGTTTGCCCCTTTGATGTCCTCACTGGTTTCCACATCCCCTCGTTCTCTATGAACTTTGTGGGTGTTGGACACCTTTAGGACCTCCATGTCGGCACATGGTTTCCTCCATCTGAGTGTGTTGCGACCTGCGTGGACGGTTACACCTTCGCTACCCTAGGAGCACTTCGCTGAGAGCCCCGCTGCGGCCTTTTCACACTACACACTGAGCCCCCCCAGGTAGCTCCGTCGGGTCAAGTAGCTTCGTTTGGTCAGATAGCTGCGTCCGGTCAGGTTGCTGTGTCCTGCTCCTGTTGGTCGCCCACCCACCCGAAAGTCCTATGGCACCACTGTCGTGGTCACCCGTCCCTCCGACGCCTCCGTATCATGTCTAGTCAGCTTCTTGTCTCTGATCTCCTGTGCATCTTTGCATCTCTCCCTCCTTCGCCTACACCGCCGTGCACTCCTTGCGTCGAGGTTCGACTGCTCTTCACCCCTCACTCATACTCCCTTCGTCTGGTTACTGCCCCCTTCTAAACTCTCCGCTTGGACGTCTGGGCCCTGCCCCGCGCCCTGGGCCCGAGAAGGAGAGTTTCTTTCTAGTGGTCGTTGAGACCACTCCCGCTACACCACAGTGTTTTCCTTGGCAAAGAAGTTTGACATGACTTCTTCCCTGATCAGATGGCCGCTGACCTCTGATGCCACTCGTGGTGGTCATGTCCGTTGTCTCCATTTCGACCATCGGGGTGAGTTTTTCTCTGGCATGCTTCGCGGATTCTGTAGCGAGTAGGGAATCACCCAGTCGTCGACGCTTCGAGAGTCCCCACAACAAGAATGGGGTTTCTGAGCGCCGCATAGGCTTGGTCCCGGATATCGTCCGCACCTCCATCATCCATGCCCGTGCGCCCCATTTCCTGTGGCCCTCTGCAGTTCACTACACCGCCCACAAGCTCAACCACTGGCCTCTTGTCTCACGGCCAGAGGCTTCACCGTCCAGTCTTTGGACCGAGTCCCCTTATGTTGTGTCGGAGTTTCGTATCTAGGACTGCCCTGCTCTTGGCCGCGACACCTCTGCGGACAAGCTCTCGGCTCGCGCCCCCCCTGTGTCTTCCTTGGTTTCCCGGTGGACTCCCCTGGCTTTGAGTTTTACCACCCACCCCTCCACCGGTTTCTCGACTCTGGTGATGACCGATTCGATGGGTCTGTGCCATACTACGCCCACTACCCCTGTCAAGGTCTTCCGCCCCCCCCCCTCCCCTCCCTTCCCCTTTTCCTCGCCCCCACTCCTCCTCCTGCTCCCACTCTCCGGTACACCCGCCCCCCTTGGTTCTGGCCCGTCAGGTGTGTCCCACGCTACCCCTCTCCCCTCGGTAGCACGTGAGGTACCACCTTCTACCCCACAGTCGTCCTCACAGTCACCGTAGGCACTACCGTGACAGGTTGTAGTGGACTCTGGGAGTGTTGGTGTTGCGCGGCTTCTCATATGAAAGGGGGCGACGACTGGCCGACCGTCCGTGGCCTCCCTTGTTGTCGTCCTCGTCGTTTTCCTCGCTGTCAGGACATTTGAATGAAAGGTGGTTTGGGTCTCCGCAAAGCCAGCACTCCCGCCGTCGACCACCACCTCCACAACTATTTTCCAGCATCGAATTCGCCTGGTCGACGTCCTTCGTCGACCTCCCATTTCCGCTACCACCGCCGCCCGGCTTCCCGCGCAGCACCTGCTGACGGCTCTGCCTCGTCGGGGTTGCGTAGCTTGCTTGCGGAAGGAGCTCCGTGGCTTTTCCGCCTCCTGCATCGCCTCATCTCCGATGGTGTAGCTAGTGAGGGAGTCCTCGTCGAGTGTCTCCCGCATGACCGGCATCACCAACAGCCGACGCATGAGGTTATAGCTGCTCGAAAGGCCCTTGATGACATGCGTGATGTAGGATGCCGTCGAATAGCCGGCACCG